TGGACACTCGGCAGGTACAGGTGTTTTCCGTGCAAGCCTGATGCCTGGAGCTCAATCCACAGAACACATAGAAAGGTCTTCACTGACCCTTACAAAGTCTGACTATGAAGAACTGACTCAACACAGTCATCCTTTAACCTCTCTGGGGTCACCTAGACACATACCCTCTTTCTCTTCCTCCCTTTCCTTTCCGCAGCATGCACCCCTAATAAGTTTTAAATATAAATACAAGTTCTAATTCTACTTGAATTTATCCTGTATATATACTCATACAAAAGCAATACCTATAAAACTGATTTTCCATGCTGTTATAACTGAAAAAAAAAAAAAAAAAAGAAGTTGATTTAAATATCTAATTTGGAATTAGCCACTTAAGCCATTACACATCCTGACAATCATATTCCGTGCACTTAGGGAAGCACATTTGCGGAGGCACATCTATAGAACAGTTGTAACGGTGAAGAAGAACACCCCACGTGGCTGTCTCCCAGAAGCCAAGCTCCCTGGCACCCTCGCAGGAAGGAGGCTAGCACTACAGACATCTCTCCACCGTTCACACCCTGACCCACAGAGTTATCATCAAATCTAAGAGTCCCATTTGTGTCAAATGAGTTTCCATCCTCCTCCCTGGCTTCTCTTTCCTTTCCCAGTAGCACCATAACTGCTGCCTCTGGGGAGCAACCTACCTGAACCCCCACTCCTAAAAAAAAAAAAAAAAAACACAAACTTTTGGAAAGTGTTATTTTAAGATTATTATGCCATGTGACTGCATGCACGACGTTGCCAGAGGTGTTGCGCCCTCCTATAAGGGGCCGCAGAAGGTGGAGCTGCCAAGTGGTGGTCCTGGGTACTGGGCTCCAGTCCTCCACTGCTGAGGCTCTCCAGCCCCAAAAGTAGTATCTTCACACCAGTATTCTCCCCTTTACGAACGTCCCTTACCTGCTCTCCTCTTGTTAGTCCCCTTTGGACCCAGTTACACTTCTGTTTTCACGTCATATATGCCTAAGCAATCTTATATTTAAAATCTAGAACCATAAATGAAAGAGCCGCTTAATTCACTCAGTACGATCTCTAACTGCATCCATCTTTCTATAAATGATGAACTTCACTGTTTTATGGCTTTAAATATTCTGTGCATATACCACTCCTTCCTTGTGCATTCCTGGTTTTGGAAACCTCAGCATGCTCCATATCCTAGCTACATGAATAGTGCTGGAATAGACATTATGCGCTCAACTAGAGTCCTCTGGGTAGATAACCCAAAAGTAGTAGAGCTAGGCCAGCCAGCCTGCCACATTGTTACCAGAGTGGCTGGACCACCAGCAGTGAGTAAGGCTTCCCCTTTTGCCCTCATCCTCACCAACATTTGTTGCTTAGCTTTTGTTTGTTTAATGGGAGCTATTCTGACTGGGAGAGATGGAATTCCAATATAGTAGTTTTATTTTACATTACTAGTAAGGTTGAACTATTTCTGCATGTTTATTGGTCATCTGTACTTCATCTTTTGAGAATGGTCCATTCATTTTAATGGGTTGTTTATTAACTGTACCTGTCTGGTTTCTTGTTCAGTTTATTTCATTGTATATTCTAGATATTAATCCTCTGTCAAACATATGACCAGCAAAGATTTTGTACCCTTCGGTAGGCTGTCTCTTCACTTGATCACTATTCCCTTTGTTGTTCTAAAGCTTTCATGTCTCCAGAGGTTCCCATTTGTTAACTGCTAACACTACCTCCCTATTCAGAAACCACGGTCAGGCGTGGTGATGCCTCCAGCATTATTCTTGGTCACCCAAGGTCTTCTGTGGTTCCATAAATTATGGCATGGGCTGTTAAACCTCTAGATTTCTTTTGGTAGCATATCCAGTTTCACAATGTTAATTCACTCAGTTTATGAATGTGTGAAGTCTTTCCATCTTCTACTGTTTTCAATTTCTTTGGGTGTTTTAAACTTCATTGTAAAAGGTCTTTTTTTTTTTGTTTTGTTTTGTTTGCTTCCTTGGTTAGGTTTATTCAGAGGTATTTTTATTTATTTATTTAGTTGTTTATTTATTGGCTGTGGATGAGTTATTTTCTTGATTTCTTTCTCTGTATATCTGTCATTTGTATACAAGAAGGCAACTGACTTTCTTTTTTAATGTTATGTTGAACCCTGCTACTTTGCTCAGAGTGGTTATCAGCTTTAAAGGTTTTCTGGTGTTGTCTTTACAGTTTTACATGTAAAATAACAACATCTGCAAGTACGGATAGTTGGACTTGTTTTTTGATTTGTGACCCTTTATTTCTCTCTAGTTTGAGCGCTTCAGAAAAGACTTCAAATACTACATTGAGAAAGAGAGAAAAAACCAGAGGCTCTTGTTCTTGGTTTTAGTGAAAATGCTTTGAGGCTTTTCCATTTAGTATGAGAGTGTTACAGGCTTGTCATAACAGCCTTTATTAGGCTGAGAAATATTTCTAGTGTCTTTAGAGTCCTAGCGTCTTTAGGCTTTTCTCATTAAGAGATGTTGGATCTTTGTTAAAAACCCTTTCCGCATGTATGGAAATTATTTAATGATTTCTAACTTTGAGGCCATTTATGTATAAAATAATTGATTTCTATTGATACATATCTGGAATGGAGCCAAGTCAATCATGGTGAAACATCTTTCTGATGCATTACTTAATTCATTTCACAAGTATTTTATTGAGAAATTTTGTATGTAGCTAGAGGACTTTCTTATTAGTGTTTTAATCTCACTGCTTATTACAGATCTACTTAATTTGTGGTTGTTTTGGTTTAATTTTGTTCGGTGATACACATCTAGACGAATGTCCACCTTAGGTTTTACAATTCAGTGGAATACGTGGTTTTTGTTTGTTTTTTTAAGGTAAATTCTAATGGTTTTGTCAATTTCAATGATATCTGTTGTAAAGTCTCCTCATTAAATTAAGTCTTTTTTTAATGATTTATTTATTTTTTTATTTTATGTGCACTGGTGTTTTGTCTGCATGTATGTCTGTGTAAAGTTACTGAATCCCCTGAAAGTGGAGTTATGCAGACATGTAGGTATTGGGACTTGAACCTAGGTCCTCTGAAAGAACAGCTGGTGCTCTTAGCTGTTGAGCCATCTCTCTAGCGCCTCAATTAAGTCTTAACTTGGGTTTTCTCTCTCTCCCTTAGTTTGGCCAAAGATCTGTCAATTTCGTTTATCTTTACAAAGAACCAACTCTTTGTTTCGATACTTTGTATTATCTCTTCAGTTCCATTTCATTAATTTCTGCCCCAATCTTAATTATTTCTTTCCATCTGATGGGAGGACATCAGGAAAAGTAAATAGAAAGGAAAACTTGTGGAAAGGGCAGTTTTGACTAAAGTTATAATGAAAAGAACAATGTGAAGAAATATAATCAATCAGACAACCTGAAAAAGGCCAGCTCTCAGGACACTGAGTATAGGGACCCTACACTCCGTGCTATGTGCCTTCTTCAGAAATGGCGTCAGAAGGAAAATGAAAAAGAAAGGAATAGAGAAAAAGGAGAAGGAGTGAGCACGATGGGTGCTAGTCTGTGTGTAGTCTGCTCTGCCGGGTCCAGCGCCTTCGTGCTCCTTCCCCAGCTCCCAGACAGATGCAGAACTTTGCAAGCTCAGCTCACAGAAGCTGGTGCCACAGTGAGCGCTTCTCCAAGGCACAGCTCTGGCAGTCCTTCAGGGAGGAATAGGTTGTGAATGTTGTTCTTGCTCCTGGCAGACCGTTGCCAGGACAGGCCACAGGTCTTGCCATCCAGATAAGGTGAGGGGGCAAATGCTAGCCCTAAACCTGGGCATCATCTCCAAGCTCCCAGTCACCCACCTGGCAGGCTGTCCACCAACTGACTGTAAATGCTGGTCCTGCCCCCTGAAGTCCTTCCTGACATCTGGTAGATATCCTGGAACCTGAGTCTGTGGCCCCGCAGACCCTGGCTCTGATCAGGTTCCCCCTGGCTGAACAATGCTCAGTTCTGATGAAGTTCATCCCCTTAAGCCTAGAGGCAATCTGCTGGCTAAGCTTCAGGGTAATAGCCACTCCCAGGGCACTTGCTCTGGGGCTATCAAGCTGCCCATTTGGCAGGGGTCTTTTAAAAAGATCTCTTTCTCCAGCTGAGGACCAACTGGCTAAACTGTGCCAGCAACAGGGCTCCTACAGGCTGCCAGCTGTCTCCTAGCACACGCAGCACCCAGCATAGGTGCTCTCCAAGATCTGGATGAGACTCCTCCCCTCCACATAGATACTGTCTCTCAAGTTCAACCTGAATTCTCACTGTTAAAAGATCGTTTCATTTCCCATTTCCCCTTTAGGGCTTGGGGAATGGCCAGAGTGGTCCTTCCAACTCTTCCACAGAAAAGAGCAGTCTGTTCCTGCCCTCTACCCGATGAGAGTTTTAGTCACAGCGCTGGCTGCTAGGTATCACCCCTGCATTCAGGTTCTAGGCCGAGCTATCAAAGGCAGTTTCTGTGGGCCCCTTACTTTCTCTACCAGTGCTTACAAAATTATCATGGGTTGATCCAAAAAGCTGTCAATTGCAAGTTACATTGGTTCAGTGTCTGCTCACTGTTAGTAAGCTGGGTCATTACGACCAACTTCAGAGAGGAAAATGACACCACTTAACTGTTGTTAGTTTCACGCATGGCCAACTTACCAGCTGCAGATAACAGAGTACTAAAGCACCAAAATAAGAAGGCAAATTAACTTGGAAAAATATTCAGACCCAAGGCTTTTTGCAATAGGGTATAGTTTAGCTTCCTACGTCACTCTGCAAATGGTATTAAAGACAAATTTTTAAAAATGTAACAAACCTTAAATCCACGCAGATTTTCACTACTCATGCAGATTTTAAAAGGCGTAATTGCAGACTCAAAGCATACAAAATAAAGTTTCCTTTTGCGACCCACCAGCTCGTCTTCAATTTAGAAGACCACAAAACATAAGTGACTGTACTTAACCTAGTTATTATAGATAGACAAGAAGTTTCAGGCTGCTTACTGTCTAGCTTGGTCCTTACTGGAATAGGTTACATTTACGACTGCAGTTTCCGAGTCTGTGTTCACTGGGGGGAGAGAAAAACAGAGAATTGGTTAGTTTTCTTTCCACTTCCTTCCTGTTACAAATTTGAAAGCAATTCAGGAGACAAGTACCTTGCTCACAGCTCTCCACCACTCCATACTGGACTAGTAAACTATCCAGGACCTAGCAGGATGGGAGAGAAAATCATAAGTTTTGAGTTTCCCAAGGTATTAAGCAGGGCAGGAATATGTTCTCAGATCACAAGGAAAGATTCAGAGACGTAACTGGGGCTCTGAACTACAGAACCGCAGGAACACACTCACTGCTTCTCTCTGCTGCCCACGTCTGATCCAACCTTCCACCTCTTTTCTGATGGGTACCCACCACTCTCAGCAACCTCTGGAGCAGCTCCCCGGCTCTTGAGGCAGAGGGCAAGTTGCATATGTTTCTCATACACAAATGCATGATCTTACTTCCTCCGTGGATCATGGTCATAGGACAAGGCCTCCGTTAAAGAGATTTCTCTCTAAGACAATCCCTTTCAAAGAACTTCCTTCTATAGCCCTACTGTGTCTAGAAGGATGAGAGAGGCACAGGGAACACAGCCAGTTTAAAGCACACTTGGAGCAGCCACTAGCATGCAGACGCTCCTGAAGGTGGCAGGAATGTCTGTAGAGCCGCACTACTCTGACAGAGAAGCAATCAGACGGTAACTATAGGCTCATTATAACAAGAACTGTCTTTGTCTCATCATAGGCATCAACTTCCTAGCTTCCAAGGGTTTTCCCTCCCTTGAAATGTTAAGCAAAATTAGTTTCTATGTATTTACAGCAAATTGCTTATTAATTTAATTGCTAAAATATAAAAGGCAGAAGTCCCTGAAAATGCTCTCTGGCCCCAGGGCACAGTAAACTGTTAAGAGGCATGCCACATTTTAAAGGTAATTTCCTACTTCATAGTGGTTTCTTCCTTCTTAAGGACTCCCTTCAAAGGATATTTCACCTCCTGTTGTATCTTTTGCGCTTCTGCCTACCTGCTGCCCGGAAACGTGTTTTCTTCTTCAAGGAAGGTGGCCTCCTAACTTGTTAACAGAATGCCTTTTTCCCCCCCGCCCCTTTCCTTTGAGAGAAGATTTCACACAACCTAGACTGGCCTCCAACTTGCTATGTAGCTGTCACTTGGACGTGCTGAAAGGCGAGGTGGTATAAGGATGGTTATGGAGGAGGGCAACAGGCAATAAAGGGTAATTACCTATTTAATATGTTTACGTAATCATTCTTAGGTCTTCCTAAAAGCAATTTGTTCAGTAATTAAATCTATTAGCTTTTAGTTTCGCTTCCACCTTGTCTTTATTACTCCAGAGACAAAGCTAAGTCCTGTGACCTAAAGACCACGTGGGTAAACCCCACGTGAGAAAGCCAGTGCAGCCAGTGTTAGCCGAAAGCTCCACTGGCCAAGGGGCCAAAACGTCCATCTGCACAGGGTGTATGACGTGTACGTACACATGATGCAGGATGCACACACACAAATGCAGATACACATCGGTGCACACACACTGTGCACCCACAAATGCACATACATGTGCACGCACAAGTAAAATTTGAAGCTTAGGAAATGTGTAACAAAATTTTACTGCATATTATTTTATTAGGTTTAACATATTCAAAACAAAATTTCTTAGCCAGGCATAGTGATGCACGCCTGTAATCCCAGCACTCAGGGAGGCTGAGGCAGGCGGATCTCTGTGAGGTCCAGGCCAGCCAGGTCTACAAAGTGAGTCCAGGACAGCCATGGCTACACAGAGAAACCCTGTCTCGAAAACAAAACAAAACTCAAGAGAGACAGAGACACACACAGAGAGAAATAGGTCTAACATCAATCTTTTTGCTGTAAACATTCTTAATACCACAACCTGTTACCACGTGGGAAGCTTACATCTAGGTTGAGGAGGGATTTCAGTGGGTCCTATGTGCCTTAAAACTTTTATGGACAAATCTAGGGATAATCATGACTCAGAATGAGGGAGGCTGCCAATGGCCTAATTATCCTCCAGGCTGGGTGAGTACAACAGAGCCTTTGATCCCAGCACCCAGGAGGCAGAAACAAGTGAGTTTGTTTCTAGAGCCAGCCTAGTCTACATAAGGAGCTCCAGGCCAGCCAGAGCTACATAGTAAGACCCTGTCTCAAAAATTAAGTTAAAAAAAGAACATCCTCAAAAATGAAATCAGGCCCTGTCTGAACATGTGTTTCCAGGTAAGTCACCACTCTCCAGGGTAGAGGTATCCCTTACTAAGCTGGCTCACTGCACATTACACGGGAAGATACGCTGTGCTCCTGTGGTAGTCACACCTACAGCCTAGCCCGATCTTGTTTCTTTTTAGCTGAACTTCTTTTCATTCAGTGTTGTTGAATGCTCCCTCCCCTTCTCTCCAAATCCCTTACATATTTCTAACAGTTCCACCAATCTTTCACAAACCAGAATCCATACCTAAATGAATTTATTTCACTCAAGATGGAATGGAAACATTTCTTAATGCTTAGTGAAGTTTAAAACCCAGGGTTTTTGATATAAGGTAAACCTCAGAAGCAATGTCTTGGTAGAAATTTTCCCTTTTAGGCCTTAGGACTTAAACCCACCCAAATACATAGGATCTTTGTGTTACGTTGTTTGCCCAAAAGCAGGAACATTAAGGAAAGAGTTGCATGATAACTGTAAAGCTTTTTTTTTTTTTTTCTCCTGAACACAGTGGTGAAGAATCAATGTCATGTTGAATAGTGGTGGCACATGCCTTTAATCCCAGCACTGAGAAGCAGGCAGATCTCTGTGAGTTTGAGGCCAGCCTGGTCTACAGAGCTTGCAAGCTCCAGGACAGCCAGGGCTACACAGAGAAAGCCTGTCTTGAAAAAAAACAAAATAATCAAACAAACAAAACAACAACAAAGAATCAAAATCATTCACAACAGCCTTGAGTAGAAACTACCTTGCCATCTGTCAGCTGATGAGTGATGAAGAAAAGATGGTATTCTCCTACAAAGAACTATCATTTGGTTGTAAAAGGAAGCATGTATATACACTACTGTACAGATGAACCTTGAAAACATTATGCCAAATAACAGAAGCCATGCACATTGTCTGACTCCACCTGTATGAATGTCTAGAACACCAAATCCCATAAAAGCACAAGTCAGACAACCGATTGCTTAAAGATGGGAAGAGGGAGAAGTGTCCAGCAACAGCTGGAGGTTCTTTCTGGGGCTGGAGAAACGGCTCAGAGGTTAAGAACACTGGTTATTCTTCCAAAGGTCCTGAGTTCAATTCCCAGCAACCACTCGGTGGCACATAACCATCTATAGTGAGATCTGGTGCCCTCTTCCGGTGTGTAGGCAGAATACTGTATAAATAATAAATAAATCTTTAGGGGAAAAACTTTCTAAAGTCGCAGTGGTGGTTGGAAATAAACCGTGACACACTAAAAACCATTACATTTTTGTGTGCATTCACATTTACATACATTTACATTGTATGTCAAAAGGAGGGTCGTAGAGTACGTGAACTCCATCTCAACAAAGCTACTGAGTATTACTGAAGTTCAATCAATGACAAAATTTTACATATGTTGATATTCTGCATTGATGTACATCAGTTTCCTGGAGATCAAAACATTCCATCAGGAGGTAGCTCCTGAAGCAGAAGAAGAAAAAAAAAACTCAAAAAAGCTTCAGGAAGTCCCTGAAATTGACCAAATGCACTAGGCCCCTCCCTGCCTGAATAAGCAATAAAAAAGCCTCAGATTCAGGAGAGTGGAGCTGTAAACAAGACACTGAGCCCAGGCCAGCTGCCTAGAAGAAGCAGGAACCAGCCAAGCTCACTCCTTTAGATCAGCTGCAGCCCCTGGAGAGGATACTCTACAACTGGTCCTGAGCTTTATGAGATGTCATCCCTGCTGGGGTGGGTTTTGGTAATACAGTCACCAAACTCTGAGTCACTTCTACTCCTGTAAGTAACCCCCTCACCCACATTCCTGTACGTAATCACCATAAAACTCACTGGTTCACCAAGTTAGACTCTGGTGGTATCTGTACTTTGGTCTGTTGTGGATTCCCTAAGGTGAGCAAAAAAGTGTATTGTCTCCCCGAGGAAAAATTTGGTCGCACAACATGCCAATACTCATGAAAATACCACAATCATCAGGAAAGCATGCGTCACTTCAACCTGCTAGTGTCATTTATTCTTACCCATCCATGATTCTTTCACTAGATAGCTGAAAACATCTATGCAGCTCTAGCTCCAAGGTGGCTGGCCTTTCTCTGCTGCCCCAGCCTCAGCTCTACCCCAACAAAGCTAGCCATGTTGCAGCAGGAAGCGCAACGCTCAACTGAAACCTCCTGTCTTCCTGCTGCTCTCAGGCCAGCTCCTCACACTGTCGGATCCTCGAGCCCGCTGTGCTTGCCTCCAGTCCAACTTCCTGCCAGAAGTTACAGAACCTTGAAGGGGTTTCAGATCACAGATGTGCGTCGTCCACACTTCAGCATGGCTACGCACGTGTATATAACCTGATCTTCACTGTCACACTAGCTGACAGGTAACTCCTAACACACACATTTGGCCTCACTCCTAGTATGCTTTTCACATTACAACTGTCTTTAGCTTTCCACGTGGTGATGGGATCAAGAGGACAACACGGGGCATGATGGACTCTGTGCCAATCCATATCCAGCAGTTCACTTTCATCCCTTCTCCAAGCAAAGATGCACTGAGCTCTAGTGGCTCACACTTGCCTATTCCATACCTAGCTAAGTGACACAGAGATGAAAAGTCACAAAAGAGTGTTTCTGTCTACGGTGGTGACACGCAGCTACAACCCCAGTGCTCAGGAGGCTGAGGCAAGAGCTGTCACGAGTTTGAGGCCAAACTACACTATGTAATGAAATTCTGTCTTTAAAAAAAGGCTTTTGTAATCATCCTGAGTGAGGTAACCCAGACCCAGAAAGAAAAATATGGTATGTACTCACTCATAAGTGCCTATTAGCTATAAAGTAAAAGACAATCATGCTACAGTCCACAGACCCAGAGAGGCTAAGTAACAAGGAGGGCTAAAGGGGGAATGCAAGGCTCTCCCCAGGAAGGGGAAATAGAATAGATTTTGCAGGTGGACTAGGGGAGGGTGGGGAACAGAGGAATC